AAAACGTTATTTTTTTTAAATATCTAACACCAGATTATGTTTGATTATTAAAAAATTAAAATTGATAAAATTTGCACTTTATGGACTACACAAATTTTTTTTGGGATTGCAAAATAATGTAATAAAACATAAAAAGTAATCAGTTCAAATATGGAACAAATATAAATATTGTAATCATTTCTTATAAATACCATTTCCTAACGTAATTTTCCAAGATATTATAGATCATAATGCAAAAAAACTAAACTTATCAGAAGTACAGGCTTTATGTTTCTTAAACTACACACATTTATTCAAGTCATTACGAAGTTTTAAAACTTTTTAACCAGTAGTTTTACTGTTGTAATGCAAAATAGCAAGACTTGCATTGGCTACTAAGAAAGTTATTAGCCGGTAGTCAACGGGTTAATTAAACCAGAGTATGCCTTATGGTTTGGTAATATACAAGACCCAAAAATAATATTTGTAAATAAACCTAAACAATAAATGAGTATTTTTGTTTTTAACTAAGATTTCATGTTTATATATGTAGATAAAAACATTTTAATTTTCTTTCATAAATATATTTTTATTTCAAGTTTATTTTTATGTTTCATTGCAGCCGTACTTTTGTTTATTGTGCCGCATAAACCATTGGGTCAGCAGCGTGACCTTTGTACATTGTACGTAACTATCTTACCCCTGTTGGGGGTCACTCTCGTTCAGCCCAGCGCGGACGCATTTGAACATTACTGTCGATATGATAACAAGAAAGCTTTTCGGTACTTGAATATCATTTCTTTGAACTTTCAAACAAGTTTATTTCAACACATGTCCTTGTATGTTGTTTCACTATACCGAGAAACCTAATTGCCACTACTAGTGAGTTGTAATAGCTTACAGAACAGGTGGTTTCAATAACACCGCTTAATCCTTGATACATCCTGTTACAAGAGATTACCAAACGATACAGACACCATAAATTACAGAGAAAGTCAATTCATAGCACTTAAAATATTAGTCTGGTCACATTCCTCTCATTATAGGCAAGATTTATGTTGGAATTTGAAACTTAAGTCCTTCATGTATTAGCACCCCATGAGAATGTCATAGCTTTCCTGGTATTATTGACACAAATGTGTTTAGTCTGTCTCACGACTAACATATGGGCTTTATTGTTGTCACTCATA